ACACGAGGCTATACTCATTATGGGGTAGATAGGAGCTTTCTAAGAAATTTTGAGTGGAGAACTATGCCAAGATATAGTCATCCTCCACCCCAGAAACTATTTGTTCCACCTAAGTATGTTTATAACCATCACAAGCCACACTATGCACAACCTAGACAAAACTATAGCTCTTACCAACCTAGGTTTGCTAGGAGGAAACAAGAAATTGCACCACCTGCACGTAGGAAGTTCTATGCCTACAACTATGACTATAATCCCAACAAGTTTAGAGCTGCAAGGAAAATTCCCTGCAACTTCAAACTTCATGTGGGGACAGACCATTAACTTTTCCGGACCCAAACTAAATTGGGTACCAAAATCTTCCTCCTCCTAATGCAGGAAGCCGCTAAGTACCCAGGTGTCTGGTACTTAGACAGTGGCTGTTCAAGACACATGACGGGTGATGTAAGCCTTTAGAGCAATCTAATTCTCTATGACGGTCCAAGAGTTACTTTTGAAGGAAGCAATGATTTTGGCCTCACAAAGGGGCTAGAAAATTTGGTGTACAAGGGATTAACCATCCAGGCTGTATCTTATGTGGAAGGTCTCAACTATAACCTTCTTAGCATAAGTCAGTTTTGTGATAAAGATTATTCTCTGGAATTCTGCAAGGACATGGCATCCCTCAAAAACATCTCCACAAATGAAGTCATTCTCACTGGGAAGAGAATCAGAAACATCTACGAAGTAATGTGGGATGATGTCAAGGAGGCATGCCTAATCAGCAAAGGTGACACTAATCTTCTATGGCTTTGGCATAAGAGGTTGAGTCATCTCAACTTCAAAACCCTCAACAAGCTATCCAAAGAAGAGTTAATAGAAGGTCTTCCCAAAGCTGTGTACAAGAAGGAAAGCATTTGTGATGCTTGTCAGAAAGGAAAGCAAGTCAAGTCTACTTTCAAGGCAAAATCGGCACCCTCAACTACAAGGATACTAAGTCTTATTCACATGGACTTATTTGGAACTGTTACACCAATAAGTCTAAGTGGAAAGAAATATGTCCTAGTAGTAGTTGATGATTATTCAAGATACACGTGGACAATCTCCCTCAACAGCAAGAAGGAAACGCAAGGGAAGCTCATAAACTGCATGAAGCTGATTCAAAACCAAGCAAGTCAGACCATTCAGAAGATCAGATCTGACAAAGGCACATAATTCCTAAATGAAATCATCATCCATTACTGTGAAGAAAACGGAATTCTTCACCAGACATTCGTAGCAAGGACACCTCAACAGAATGGTGTAGCTGAAAGAAGGAACAGAACCTTGAAGGAAGCAGTAAGAACTATGCTAGCAGAAGCTTTCTTGCCAAAGAGGTTCTGGGCTGAAGCTTTAAACACAGCTTGCTATACTCAAAATAGGAGTATGATTTATAAAAGGCACAACAAAACTCCCTATGAACTGTGGAATGGGAGAAAACCTAATATATCATATTTTCATATTTTTGGGAGCAAGTGTTTTGTGTTGAACAACGGGAAGAATCATCTGAACACTTTTGATGAGAAATCGGATGAAGCCATCTTTCTTAGATATTCTATGGTGAGCAAGGCATTTAGAGTCTTCAACAAAAGGACCATGATCACAGAAGAATCAATACATGTTATTTTTGATGAAAAACATGTGGTTGACAAGCCATCAAAGCATGATCATGAGGTTCTGGATCTCTCTGACAAAGATGAAGAAATCAATGAAGAAGATAGAATGAAGCCTACGGAGTTCATTCCATTCGGAAGTCTACCTATGAAGACTTCAAAGAGAAATCCGGACAGTGCTGAGCCTACTGCAAATCATGGCCAGCCTCCCAACATTCCGGATCACTCACATGGCGACCATTCCGGAAATGGCGATCAAGAGACAATACATCCGGAAACACCAACAAACTCTGTTCTTCAACCAGAAGCTGAACTAGATCAGCCAGTCAACCCTAATCAACAAAACCTTCGTTGGTTAAGGGATCATCCTCCTCAACAAGTTATTGGAGATATTCAATCAGGCGTTCGCACTAGGAGTGCACAACAGAATCTACAAGCCATGCTTGCTTGTTTCATCTCGTAAGTAGAACCAAAGAGCATTGAAGAGGCTCTAGCTGATTCTGATTAGATCAACGCAATGCAAGAAGAACTTAACCAATTCACCAGAAATGACGTCTGGAAACTTGTTCCCAGACCTACTCATCAACATGTCATTGGGACAAAGTGGGTCTTCAGGAACAAGATGGATGAAAATGGCGTTGTTGTCAGAAATAAAGCTCGGTTGGTTGCCAAAGGTTATTGTCAAGAAGAAGGTATAGATTTTGATGAAACCTTCACTCCAGTTGCTAGACTTGAAGCTATAAGGCTGTTTCTAGCTGTTGCTGCTCATAAGGACTTCAAGGTCTATCAAATGGATGTCAAAAGCGCATTTCTCAACGGAAACCTAGAGGAAGAAGTTTTTGTGGAACAACCTCTAGGATTTGAGTTACACACTAAAGGCGATCAAGTGTATAGACTCAAAAAGGCGCTATATGGACTCAAACAAGCACCAAGATCTTGGTATGATACATTGTCTCAATTCCTTATAGACAATAGATTTACCAAAAGAGTCATTGATAAGACATTATTCAAAGTACAAGATGGAGAAGATCTCTTATTCGTCCAGATCTATGTAGACGACATCATATTTGGCTCAACTAAGGAAGATCTTTGCACCAAGTTCTCCACCCTCATGCAAGGAAAATTTTAGATGAGCATGATGGGGGAACTCAACTACTTCCTTGGTCTTCAAATCAAACAGAGAAGTGAAGGGACTCTCATTAACCAAGCCAAGTACATAAGGGATCTTATCAAGAAATTTAAAGTTGATCAGAAGTCATCCGTTTCTGTCCCCATGAGTACATCCACCAAGCTTGATATGGATGTAGATGGAAACAATGTTGATCAAACTCTCTACAGAGGAATTGTTGGATCTCTACTCTACCTTACTGCAAGCCGTCCGGATATCTCATATGCAGTAGGTGTTTGTGCCAGATTCCAGTCCAAGCCAAAGGAGAGTCATCTGATAGCAGCTAAAAGGATTCTTAGATACCTCAAAGGAACTCAGAACATGGGTTTATGGTATGCTAAGAGCAATACATTTGAGTTGGTGGGATACTCAGATTCTGACTTTGCCGGATGCAAAGTTGACCGGAAAAGTACATCTGGTAATTGTCAATTCATTGGTGGAAATCTTGTTTTTGGTTCAGTAAGAAACAAAACTCCATCTCTATATCAACAGCAGAAGCAGAGTACATTGCTGCTGGTAGTTGTTGTGCTCAGATCTTGTGGCTAAAGCAACAACTACTGGATTATGGAGTCAAGAGAAGAGAAGTGACAATTTTCTGTGACAATCAAAGTGCTATAGCTATCTCACAAAATCCAGTGCATCATTCTCGCACTAAGCACATTGATGTCAAGCATCACTTCATCAGAGATCATGTGGAAAGGAAAGATATCAAAATTGAGTATATCTCAACTGAGGAACAATTGGCGGATATCTTCACAAAACCACTAAGTGAAGCCAAGTTTTCCGATTTGCTTCACAAAATTGGTCTAATTCAATTAGACTAAGTGCGGTACACGTGGCAGTCCACTTTCCACGTCTGTCAAAATATTGGGTAGGCACGTGGTCTTGGGAACAGTTAAAAACCCAATCGCCACTAGCCGCATAAATCGCCCATATTAAACCCAATCGCCACTATAATCAGATCTCAACTGCCCACTCAGCCCACTCAAATTTTTCATCGTCTTCTTCGCGAGAACCTTCTGATAAAATTCTCAAGAACCCTAATTTCTTCAGATCTTCTCACTCAAATTTCTGAGAAAATGAAGATTGTTGGCGCTAATCTCCATTTCCAGAAGTTGGAAGCCAAGTGCTCTTCACCAACGTTCTATCAATCCTATCTCGAGATGATTGCTGCTCAAGAGCTCTCCGAATTCCTTCATATGGAGATTCGATTCAAGTATGAGAACAAAGTTCTTGAATTCTACAAGAATGGAAAGTTCAAGACTGTAAAATCGAAGAAGGACCCGCAGAGGACGATTCAAATCATCAATTCCACTGTTGGAGGGACCAAAGTGAAGCTTTCACAGAAGAAATTGGGACAAAAGCTTCACCTTCCCAATTCTGGAGTTGAAATTGGGAGACTTCCATCCAAGAATCTGGATTGGAATATGATTGGAATTTCTGGGCAAGTTCCCTCTGGCCCAGCAAAGAAAGCTGATCTGAACAACGACTACAAGCTAGTCCTTGAATTGGTCATCGCATGCCTCGAGTGTGGAAGTGGAGGACATGCTGATGACATCACCCAAGAGAGGGCCTTCATCATCAATGCCCTCATTACCAAGTCTAAGGTAAATTGGGCTGCACATTTCTTCAATTCCATCTCAAAACATCTGGGAAAACCCAACCAGAAATACCTTTGTCAAGGTCTTTACATTGGACATATTTTGGAGTCCATGGGTGTTGCTTCTGAAGGAAAGAAGTATGAAGCCAGATATTGGCTATACTACCTGTCTTCCAAATGGGAAAACAGAGCTGGTGCTAGCACAACTGCAGAGGATGAAGCCTCTTCAGACAATATTCCCATCATAAGTCTGAAGAAAATAGCCAAGAGGAAACATGTGGTGTCTCCCTCTCCTAGTGTTGAAGCACCACAGAATCTTGCTCTGGTCAATATGGAAGAAGAAGAAGAAGTTACTGCCCAAGAAGAGCTTCAAAGGAAGAAGAAGAGAAAAATCACCTCTCCCTCAACTTCTGGAAATGTCAACCCAGATGAGTTGAAGGAGAAGGAACCAGTTGAGGAAAACTCTGCCCACAACCAAAGCCCTCAACAACTTGAAGAAGAAGTTCATCAAGTCCATAGTCTTCCAACCTCCTCACCTCAATCTCAAACAGATGATGCCGATAACCAATTCTGGCAGCTCTACTATGACTGGAGAGCTTGGAAGGTTGGAAATTCAGCAGAGCAGTTGTTGGGATGGGATCAACAATTGAAGAATGAAAAGATCATCAAGAAGTGCTTGGGACTGCCAGTCAACCACAGCTGTGAACAAATCTTGGATGATGACTGGGTATGGCAAAGGAACTATGAAGACTTGCATTTGGAATACTTGGCCACCACACCAGTTTTAGAATTTGAAGTGGATGATGAAGATCCTTCAGTCTACAAGCCGATCTTTTCAAAAGCCACAAAAGATCTGATGATTCTCACTTCTAAAGCACAGGCTGATTTGGAAACAACAGTTGAGGATTTCCCAATCTTTCCGGAAACCTCACCTGCCTTTGTAACGGTTTTGCCTGAAGCTGACCAAGAGAATGTAGCCTCTGCTCCAATAGAACAGAACCAAGAAGCATCAGAAGAAGAAATTCAGCAACCTCTCCAATCTCAAGTCCTTGAGATTCGCACAACTCCCTGTGAGATCTCCAACCAGCGTGAACTTGAGGAGAAATTCTGGAGCAGTCCACTCCTCCAGAAAGGAATGAAGTCTAAGAGGAGCAAGCTGTAGAAATCCAAAGGAATTCTACAGAAGCTGAAAAGGAAGTTCAAATGGCACCACTGGGGGCCCCTGAAACTCCAGTAGCTGTTTTTGAAGAGCAGAATGAAGGTGAAGAAAGAGACTCCCTCTCTAGGGATACATCAAATTTTATACTTGATGAAGCAGAGGAAGAATCTGAAAGGACGCTGGGGATCAATAATTTAGAAGATGTGCAAGAAGATGTTGAATCTCTTCCTATGCAACTCTTCCAAAGAACATCCTCTTCTCACCAGGTAACCAACTTTCATTTTCACAGCTCTTCCATTCCTACACTTCCGGATGAAGTACCGGAAACCTGGACAAAGAAGATCCAAGGGTTGATTGAATCAGCCCTAGACTCTCAGCATGCCTCCTTTAGGCAAGAGATAGAGCAGATGGAAGCCAGGCACAACAAGCTGATTGAGAAATCTTAAGAGAAACACAGCTTAGATCACAAGGAGATAAGCAAGTCAATGCACAAGACTCTAGAGATCATCTCTCTATTGAGTAACTCTGTGAGCGACACAATGGAGACATATGCATCTGACAGTTATCTTCAACTCAAAGAAGTGAATAAAATCAGAGAGCAAATAGCAAATGTCACAGTTGGTCTACAGAAGCAGATGTCCCTTCTCCAAATGGACATCAGATCAGCCCTAGCAGTGTCTTCGGCAAATCAGGTAGTAACCAAAGACTACTTGAAGGTTATTATTGACAATCAGAAGGAAGCACACAGACTGTTCAGACACTTAAGCACAAGCTCTGGCAACCGCAAGATGGAAGTGATTCTTCAACAACACAGTCCATCGTGGATTCTAGAGCTCCCTATTGTAGTCAAGGAAGGAGAAGTCTCTTATATTCCTTCGCATCTGAACATGACTGACCTGATCCTCGAAGTTCAGAAAAATAATCCAGAGAACTCAGCACAGCATCTATCTAGCTCAGGACTGGATGGAACAGAGGCTGTTGGAACCATTGTCTCCCATTTCTCAAATGATGCCCAAACAGAGGAAAGACGCAACAACATAAGGCGCATCAAAGAACTGTGTGGAAACATGCAAGGCATTAGTGAGATTGCCGGATCATCAAAGCGCAGGAAGCAGTGAAGGCTTTTTTCATCAAACCAGGGGGAAGTATGTGAAAACACTATTTTGCTTTGATGAAAACACCTTCTTGTTTAAACATTGCTTGTTTGGTTTAAACATTGCTTCAATGTTTCTCTTAATTATGCTTACTATGCTTCACTTTGAGTATGATTTTGAGATTTATTCCTGAGCGCATACATTCAGGGGGAATATAATTCAGGGGGAACTTAACTGTTTTTGGCTAACAATTGCTTCAATTGTTTTTGGCAACGAACTATTGATAAACTCTAAGCAACGGAAGCCGAATACCTCAGTTTAAGTACTAAAGTTGAAGATCTCCGATTCAGGTACTTTACAAAATCTGCTTTCTTAAAACTAAGATTTAATCCTTAGTTCATTTCCAACTTTGCTGTTAAGTACTGGTCCTTACAGGACTTTGGAAAAATAGTATCACTTTTCTTTTAAAATAAGTTACAAATTTTTTTGGTACTACCTCGTCCTATTTTGAAATTAGAACTATAGGGAATGAAAAATGATAGTTTTATTTTGGGCCTTGAGAACCCAATAGGAATAATTTCCCTTTAGTACATAGATATTTTTTTTGGGCCACTCTTTTGGGCTTAGCCAAACCAAAACAGTTACGTTTTTTTTTCAAACCAAACGAAACTGATTTTTAAATTTGAACAGTTTCAACACATTGGTAACTGGTAAAAGATTCCTTCCACTTTTCAACTTCTTGGAAGTTGAAACTCTTTTACTCTCACCGTTCCAACTACCCAATTAGTGGAACCCGTGAACCTCCCCTCTCTCTACCTCCTCTCCTATTTAAATCAAGACATCCCAATACATTCCTATCACAAACAACTCTTTTAATATGAAAAGTCTTCAACTCACTGTCTGAGAAACACACCAAGAAAAATATCCTCAATAGAGAAATTTTTCTTTCTCACCCTCATAGACGGCAATGGATAAAGCCTAATGAGAAGAAAAGACTTTCAAGGTCTATGGTGAGAATCTCGGTAGTAGAGAAGGTCTGTGGTGAAAATCTCGTATTTTTCAGGATTACACCATACACCTTCTCTTGAAACAACACTCTCTCCATCTTTGTTTCTTCTAATTCTTTTTAAAAATTTTCTCTCTTTCTTTTATTTGTGCAGTCTCTGCACCCTTTACTCAAGCATTTTTTAAAATTTACTTTCTCAATTTTTTTTTAAAACCTTATTTTATTTTGTTTTTTCAATCAATTCTCTTTTCCAAAACCTTTTTCTTGTCGTTCTGTCTTTTTTCCTTTCTTCCACCGCCGCCTCCTTTCCCTCCACTTTCTTTTTGTTCTTGTTTTTGCCTTTTGGAGAGATGTTGGTTCCAAGATCTCAAATATCCACTTTGGATAATAAAGATCTATCAAACGCATCGCCATCTTTACTACCAAGCAAAATTTGCTGGAAGTGAAAGCGGCAAATGGCAGAAAATATCACAAATCTCAAGACAAGACTTGGTTTAGGAATTATTGTAATTCGAATTGTATTTGTTTAAGAGTTTTTGTTAACAAGCTGTATATTATGAGAAACTAAAAGAAAGTTATAAAATTAGTTCTCAGTACAGCGACCGGAACTCTTGAACACTTGTTTGTCATCATCAAAAAGGGGGAAATTGTTGGGAAAATATTATAGATTTTGATGATGATGTATTTAGATTGTAATAGGGACTTTAGGCCTCCCCCAATATTCAATGTAATCTTTTTTTTAGAAATATTGTTAAAACCGAGTTCTTGAGATTTCCAATAAAGTTGTGATATTTTTTTAAGTGGTTTGATGCTTGAAGACTTAATCAAATTTTGTGATATGGAAATTGGATATCTTGATCGGAAATGTCAGAGACAAGTAAGGATTTCTCAAAGCAGATGAAGGCTAAGTCATTCAAATCATTCAAATCGGAAGACTAGCGCGGATCTCTTTCTCACCCGGAAGTCTGTGAATGACTCTTCCGGATTTGTCAGCAAAGAATCGGATGCCTCAAGAAAAGATCGGAACTCTCAGAAGCAGACAAGTGAGAAAAGACTTATAAAAATTCTAAGTCTTGAATGAAGAAATTCTACCCGTTGGTAAGGAAAAATCAATCTCTTGATTTTCAACGGCTAGATTGAAGATAATTAAGCTGATTCAAGAACAAATGACTTGAAGACAAAGTCTGGACCCCTCAAATTAAAGAGCTCGTCCAGAATTCCTAAACAAGCACTAGAAGACAAACTGAGTAATGTGCTACAGTCCAGAATTCTTGAACAACAGCTAGAAAACGAATTCTGTGGAAAAAGGAATCCCTCCTCAAACAATTGGGTATGTCCAAGCACCCACTCCAATGAGGAATCCTCAATCACAATCTTCATTCAAAATTGAAGCCAGCAAATGCAACGGATAGTCTATTTTGATTCAACGGATAGATTATCCAATCCAGCTATAAATAGCAACCTTGGAAGACTGGAGAAGATATAACGAGATAGACGAACACAACAAAGAAATCTCTAATAACAAAGCTATCTCATTCACAGTTAGCCCAAAAAGCTTGATAAAGAGAGATTTCTAAAACTCCTTATCCAGAAGCAAACTTCTCCTCCTTCCAAAGAGCTATAGTGTAAACACTTGAAGGTTTCCTTGCCTCAAGTACCACACCACGTTGAAGGATACAACTTTTGATCAAACTTGTTGATTAAAAGGGGGTAGATCAACTTTCTCACAAGTTGATCTTGCAGGTCCTATTGTTCGGATCTTGTAGTTGTTGAAGAAGCGTGATCTTCGAAGGAACAACAAAGCCAGCACGAGTGCAGTAGCAACTTTGGCCTTGCGAAGATATACCGTGCAGAAATTCACACAAGTGTAATTGTTGGTTCATTATTCAACAACCAACTACATAGTGGATTTTGAGGACGTAGAAGGATTACCCCACCTTTGAATCTCGTTAAAGTTTGCGTGTCTCTCTCTTTTATCTTTACTCTTACTTGCAATTATATTAACTGTGAAAACTAACACATCCATATTGATTACTGCTCATACTACCCACCAAATTCCGCACACTATCTAAAGTTTCCAAGAACTCTAGATTTACACTATTTTCACGTTTTCAAAAGAAACGAAAAAGTTTTAAAATTGTAACAAAGTCTATTCACCCCCCTCTAGACTTTGTATCTCACCACTTTGGGACCACTAATTTTTATATCATTTACATCCATTGAAGACACTGCATGATTTAAGTGTGGGGGGACGCTTTCTGATTTAGTTATGCATATTTTAGGATATAATTTTTGTTTGTGTAAAACTTTGTGTACAAATGCCTTGCTTTCTCATTAATCAACAAGTGTTTATATAGACAAGTACAATGGGCCAAGCCCAACAAACAATAAGTACAAAGTAAACCCGAAAACAATACATGACCCGCTAACACTCCCCCTCAAGTTGGCGCATGAAGGTCATGAATGCCCAACTTGGACCGCAAGATCTGGAAAGTGGGTTTAGACAACGGCTTGGTGAAGAGATCTGCAACCTGGAGACGCGTCGGCAGATAACGAGTGGAGACCTCTCGGCGTTGAACACACTCTCGTACAATATGGCAATCAATGTCAATGTGTTTCATCCGCTCATAGAAAACAGGATTCGCAGCAATAAACAATGCAGACTGATTATCACAGAACAACCAAGGAAGATGCAAAATGGGCACACTGAGAGCCTGAAGAATGCGACGTATCCATCGGATCTCTCCGCAGGTGTTGGCCATGGCGCGATATTCAGCTTCTGCAGAAGACCGAGATGCCGTCGTTTGTTTCTTAGTTTTCCAAGAAACGGGAGAACCACCAAGCATGACGAAATACCCGCTGACAGACCGTCGGGTAAGAGGACAACTGGCCCAGTCGGAATCACAATAAGCAGTGATTTGTAACGTGCTGTCACGGCGTAGGAGGATGCCCTGGCCAGGATTTCCTTTGAGGTACCGCAATACACGCATGGCCGCGGCGAGATGATCAACTCTTGGAGCCTGCATAAATTGAGACAATACATGAACATAGTAAGCCAAGTCGGGGCGCGTGATGGTCAAATATATCAACCGCCCAACAATGCAACGATAGCGCCCAGGGTCATGGAGAAGAGGACTTGCCGAACGGCCCAGACCATGATTCGGCTGGATTGGTATGTCGGCGGGTTTGCAGCCCAGTAAGCCGGCTTCAGACAAAATATCCAACGCATATTTGCGTTGGCACAACACGATGCCAGTAGAAGAACGAGCACACTCCATGCCGAGAAAATATTTTACAGGACCCAAATCTTTCAAGTGAAAACACGTATCCAGGTAATGCTTAAAGGAGGCACACAAAGAGGCGTTATTACCAGTAACCAGGATGTCATCCACATAAACCAAGATAGCCAAAACATCAGGACCACGCCGATATAAGAAAAGTGTGTGATCCTAGTGAGCCTGGCGGAACCCGTACTGACGCAAAGCAGTGGTCAGTTTTTCAAACCAATTACGGGGAGATTTCCGTAGACCATACAAAGACTTCTGAAGACGACACACCTTCTTGGGGTGTAAATGAGAGTTACCGGGAGGCACCTACATATATACCTCATCATGCAAATAACCATGAAGAAAAGCATTATTGACATCCAATTGATATACCTCCCAATCTTTGGCCACGACAACAGACAAAAGAATACGAACCGTACCCATTTTAGCCACGGGTGCAAATGTATCAGTGAAATCAGTACCTGGTTCTTGATGATTGCCCAACACCACAAGGAGCGCTTTGTCGCGCTCCTTCAAACCCTCGGAACGAAAATTTGTCTTATATATCCACTGGCACCCCAACGCACGTCGGCCCGGAGGGAGATCAACAATGTCCCACGTGTGGTTGTCCTCCAACGCTTGAACCTCCTGTTGCATGGCAGCCCGCTAGTTGGCGTGTTGAACAGCCGTGCGAAAAGAGGAGGGGACCTCCGACGTGGTGATGGCCGCCAAGAACCCACGGTACCTGTCTTGTAATTTATCATAAGTCACGAAGTTAGTGATAGGGAAACGAGTACCTGACCGTGTAGATGGAGTCGGGGAGCTAGCATCAGAGTTAGATGTGAGGGCGGAGTGACAAACATAATCGGAGAGGTGAGAGGGTTGACGACGAGTGCGAGGTGGGAGGGTCCGAAGTGGGACGGTTTGGGGAGGTGAGGAGTGCGGCTGATCATCGTCGC